ATTTAGAAACATTAAAAGATTTCTAACAGTAGAAGAACAATAAGAAGGAAGTGGGCAAAGTGAACTCATCCATAGGGGTATTATTCTGAAGCCTTGTTTTCATTAAGGGTAAGAACATTTTGTTCTTACCCTTCTCTGAGTACCCTTCTCTGTTCTCTGATCTTTGGCATCTTGTAGGCAGTTATATAGTAAAACTTAATTTGTTACAGAGTCAGCAAAAATAAGTCACTCACTATGTGCTCACAGCCAACAAAAACAGTGTTATTGTGGGGCTCAGTGTGAGGACTGAGCGAAGAGTTTCAGGACAGAGCCAATGTTTTGGCACTGCAATAACAAGTTGAGCCATCCACTTGAAGTGCAGATGACTCACTCGCCTGATAACGTAACTGGTTTAAATATTCTCCTCCTGAAAGTGAAACTCTTACAAATCCATATTTCAGCCACAAAACTGTTCACAACTTTCAATCACAAAACTAACACTAGGACTCTTTAAAGCCATGAGCTTTTTAACTTCAAAAGGCAGCTTTCGGCCAGTGTAGACATTTGTAAATATGGCCCTAAAAGTTCCTCTATCTTTAAAATTCCAACCTTTGGAACAAAGGGATATTTTTCCACATGCTGACCTCATTTATATGACTTCCATAAATCAATGATATGAGAACACGTGTTGGCAAATGTGCATCTTGTAGTCCATCTTCTGCCCATTGTAGTTTCAATCCATCTGTCCTTAACAATGTGACATCCAGGATTACATTTTTAAGGACAATAGTGTAAGGTCATTACAATTGACAACACAAGGCTCTTGTCTTTACCCAAGTTCTTAGCAATTCTCCTAACCACTTTTCCTTTCCTTGAAAAGCGTTACAGTCGAAATGTGGAGATTACTCTTGTTGTTTCAAGACAAACTGCCATAATTGTGATACCCTCTGAGGGTTGAGGAGCTGTAATCTGCACTTTTTGATGTTTTCCAAAAAATAGAATTTTGATTTTTATCTCAAAATATTATTTTGACTTTTCTCTCAAAATAGAATTACAACTTTAGTCTGAAATAATATTTTTTTTCTTAATATGGCCCTAACACTCCTTTGTAAAAAGCTGCCCTGCATTTTTTTGTTAAATGTGAAACAGTGAAACTGAGGAAGCCAACATCTATCAGGCTAATATTAGACCAAATGATGAATGTGTACACTGGCAACATTAAAGAAATGTTTTTCTGTCTTTAAGCATTTTTATCCAATAAAAGGTAGAAATAATGGAATTCTTTATCATTACTGGAGTTATAGCAGAAACCGTTTTTACTGACGGTTAGACTAAACTGTGGGTGAATGCATCTGGACTCTTTGCTATCTGGGTCCATCAGTAAACTGTGTCTGATCAGTCTCTCCGCATTTCATCTTCACTTTCTCTCTCTTGCATTTTGACCTTTCAGGTTTCAGCTGAATCATTAGATCTAAAATCAAACGTAGAATTAGGATTAAAATTCATCTAATGAAAGTTCAAGCTGGCTAAATGATGAGCATGGATATTAAATTAAAATGATACATTTTGTATCAAACGCGGATAACTCAGGGTGAACTTACTCAGAGTTGACTGAACTTACTCTGATCAGCTGTTCTGGAGCAACCCGGAGTTGCCGATCATAAAGTTGACCAACTCATATTTTATTTTTAAACTAAGGTTTGCTGGATATGCTTCCTGGAATAGGGCCCTGAATTTGGGTCCACAGTTGAAATGTTCACAAACATCACCAATGAAAACCACAACCAGTTAAGCTGGAACACCAGTTAAAATAAATGAACAGTTTAAGCGGTATGAAGTGAGCGGCTCTGCGGTCCTGTAGTGCAGCTCCGTGATGACACCAGGTTAACTGAAAATGCAACTCAAACCACATTAAAATCAGCAGCTGTTCAAGGCCAGCTGCGCTATCTCATGCAACAGGAAGCAATAGCGGAGTACTATTACCGCCTCCCTTTTTGTCGTTGATGTTGTTGACTATTAGGTCCTATGGCGGAGCTCCATGCTGAGGCCCTCGTTTAGTTCCGCAGTTATAAACTCAAACTCCCGTTAAATAGGCTGCGTAGCATTAATAATGCCTGTAGTATGATTTATGCTGCATTGTATGTTTTCAAATTTAGCGACCAAACATGCAGGCGCTACAGTTTACCCACGTTTGTTATCGACGTCCTCCTGGTGTAGCTGAGCAGCGTCCGCCTCTTTAAGCTCCGCCATTACGAACTACAGCAGCACACACAGGAAATGTTCTATTCTACGTTCTTTACGTAAGGCGCGTTGTTTTAAACGCAATTTGACATTTTACGGAAGCGCATCGCATTCACGACAGATGCGTGATTAATACACATTTTATAATCTAAAATGAGTTACTGTTGCAAATAAAATAATACCACACGACTCAGAATACCTGACAACGTGCTGAGGATAACCAGATACCTTCAGTGTCAAATTATGCAAGTAGCCTATAGAAAGTGAAGCAGAACTCTTACTGGTTCATTTCAAAAATGTTAACAAAAATAAGAATTACAAGATCAGAATATTTATGACATATCTAATTATAATTATAAGATAATGTCTCCAAACAGGTTTTCCGTTTTTGTTGCAATACTTTGTTATGGAATTTTATTATTAAACTGAATTTTTAAAAATGAAATGATTAATGTAATGGCTAAAGGAATGAACCACCCATCCATATGGCAAACCAGTTTTGAGACAATTCCTTGAAAAAAAAAGTAATTGCTAATTTTCCTAAGCAAACATGTGTGTAATTACTCCACAAAGAATGTAAGCTGTTACACAAATTGTTTCTGCAATGACTTATACATTGCTTTTGCATTAGGGTCACTACTGAGAACAGGATGGATGCA